TGGTATAAAGTCACTTTCCACTTCCCTTTTCTCCCACTCCAATACTGTTGTTAAAGAGATGCCACCCAGTGGCTGTAAGTAAGATCTCTTATGGCTTCTGATTTTTGGCAGGGTCTCTGTTTGCTGGCATCGATTTAAGATTCTTCCAACATTGTCACATGCTGGATTGTTAGTGTTTTAGCCAACCCCAAAAGTGCAACCAGGTACTCATAGAGACTGAGCCATGCATTCTCCTTGAGAGAAGGGACTTTTTTCTTCTCTTTCTTTGTATCCACAGTACTTAGCACAGGACCTGGTATATATACTTAATAAGTATTTGTGGACTGACTGAAGTACTTACTGTTTTCCTTCATCCTCGTTTTCTTGGAAAGAATGCTGAAAGACCTAGGTTCAAATCACAGTTCTCCCGCTTACAAGTTATGTGGCCTTGGGAAAATCTACCTCTAGACTTCAGCAGTTTTCTCATTTGCAAAAGGAGAGGAATGACAAAAAGTCAAGGATGATTCCAATGTTTCATTTAGTGAGTGGAAATAGAAAAAATGGTTATAGAGAAAAGAGGAGAACTAGTTCCCTCATCACTTCTAATTATGGCTCCTAAACTCTCTAGGTTCTTTTCTGTTCTTGTGTTTTTGGAGACAGCTCTCCTAAGAAGTTACAGAAGACAATTTTTAGCTTTTACATAGAAATATTTATTTAAAAAGATATATTCAGAAATATATGAATATACTTTCTTCTCTAACACATGGGAGGCAAAATCTTCTGCTGCCTCAGTCTCTGGGGAAGGGAAGGGGATTAGCTCAGTTGCTATAGCTCAGTTGTTATAGACTACAGTCAAAGTTCTGAGTCCAAAGGAGCTTGAGTCCAGGTGATGAGGTTTTGGGGTGCTGGGACTCTGAGAATACCAAGGCAGAGTTGCCTGTAATGAATTCACACACTCAAGTCTTCTCTTAGTCAAATGGCAAAAAGTTCATTGTAATGTTTTAGGTAAAGTGGGCAAGGATCCTTATGATAACTCTGTGAGAGACTGAGGATGATGCTGGGGTTTATATGGAAAAGGTCCATAGGAAAGGAATGCCAGGGATACGAATTGGGTATTCTAAGGGTCCAGGTGTCTTTGGGAGCTATGGATGGGAAAGTGTAGGGAGTATACCAGACATTGAGGGAGTTGTCAGAGGCGTGGACCTTGGAGATCTGGTGGGAGGAAGAGTTCTTGGGCGAGCCAGGGATAAAAATCCTTGGGCCAGGCACTCCTCTGTCTGTAGTGATAAGAGATTGTGTTCTGCAACAAGAGAAAATTTTGTCAAAGGACAGGGGCTTACTGAGAAATGGGGAGGCTTCCAGAGACATGATCTTAGGGCTGGGGCCCAAGCACCGCATCACAGGCACTCTGGTGTCTCAGGGCTTCCATGCCAGGCTGGCTGGCTGTATTACCCTGCCTACAATCCTTGCCCTAATGTAGTTTGAACTCCCTTTCTCTAGGATCACTTCCTACATCTGAAACTGAAGAACACAAACAAAATAGAATAGAAACAAACATTCCTAGGGCCTTTTCTCCAAGCTAGGGTAAAAAGAGAGGTAACAGGAAGGAAAGTCCATCCATTCTCACTTATGGTATCCTGATTGTGGTTTAACTGGGATCTTTACCCTATGGACATAGCCAATAAGAAAGCAACAGAAAAAAGGACAATTTTATTTTTAAAAAAGACTCAGGGCAATAAAATACGTTATGAAGCTAAAAGGAATCTACAATAGTTATCCAACAATATTGTATTGAAATTAACAAAGATATCACCTCCTTCTATTGGTATTTGTTTTTCTACCCAATATTTAGACACATTCAGCCCCTGCAAAACCAAGCAAATCATATTTGCTTTGGGAGACAAACAATCTAGTCTCTCAGAGATAAAAATAAAGCAAACTGGGAGCTCTTGAACATTAATAGGGTCTATTTCTTAGAGCACGTAAGCTAAAGCTATTGACAGATTTAAAAACAAGTTTCTAAATGTAAGGTACATAGTGAACAACTTGCAGATAGCTTTGTGAAACTAAAATTTTGTATAAAAACAAATGAGTGAAAAAACAAAAATGAAAACAAAAGTATTTGAAGATTGATTCTGAATAGGGAAAGAACTACTGTTACTATAATCTGAAACTAAGTGTACAATTTATCAGAATTTGAAAGGGCATAAATAATCAGAACCTTTATAACTCTTGGACATGTTCATTATAGTGACTTAACTCAGGCAAACGCATGCTTCCAATGGAGCTCATGAAAAATTTTTCTATGTTAGGAGCTGTAAGATGTGACAATTATCAACTATTCTCCCTTAATCCAGCACTGGAAAAAGTCAGCATAGGGTTCTGTAGGGAGCCCAACCCAAGTAGACTGGAGTCCACAATAGATGTTGTTTCACAGATCAGAGCTTCTGTCATCGTTTCAGGTCCTCATTTTGTTTATTGAAACTTAAAGCTTTAAATAAAACTGGTGAGCTTGGGAAAATTTGGCTTATCTCAGATAATGTAACTCTAAAAAGTACCTAAGTGATCCTCTTTCAGGGTCTTCATTGAGGGATGTCTACATCACCCTAGAATATTTGCAGTGAGTTAGAAATAAGTAGAATAACTCACAATCATACAAAATTATGGAATCTTCTAGGGGACTGATTAATGTACTTAAATACTTCATAATCCTCTTCAATCTAATAAACATTTTTCCTCTTAGGAAACTTCATTGGATGTTCCTTCTCATTAGGGGCAATAGGAAACAAGATTAGTAAAAAATTTTGATTGAGAACCTCCAACTAAAAAAAACCAAAACAACTTACCATGTACTCCACAGGGCCCCTTAATTTGAGTGCCCAAGTATTTTAGTTACTGCTTGGGTAATAGTTGTTGAAAAAAGGCAACATTTGGAAAAATTTGTGTATGTGTGTATGTATGTACATGTGTATGTATATAGGCTTATACATAAATACATACACATGCATACTTACACACATATGTATGAAGGAAGGAGAAAAAAAGTAGATTGAAATTCTTTCCTTTCCTCTTTCCCTTCTGTAAGGTATAAGAAATTATGTCTCCACAGATGTAGAACAAGTGGTCTTAAAGTCGACTTTAGATGTGAAAGGAGCTGTTTTACTCAGAATTGTTTTTTAATAAAAATACTCAAAATAAAAAGTGCTGAAAAGTAGGACAAAGGTTACAACGTGCTCAAAGTGCACGTGCTTAATATGCTTATAGAGGGAGAAGAGAACATATTAAGGAGCAGTGTGAAGTAGGTGTTCTGGGAAGTTGTATACCTTGGAGTATCCAGCCAATGGAGAAACGAAGGAGGGACAGGAATATAACTTCTTGCTCTGGGGTGTGTCTGCCTCTAGCAGCACACTCCCTTCTTGCAAAAGTTTATGATAAATGAGCTTGCCTCATCTACCTCGGGAGTTTTTGTCTTGCTGTAAAAGTTATTTCTCACACCTTCTTCCCTCCCTGTAGCCCAGGGTAGTAGAATGGGAAAAAAAATGCTTCATAATTGTAAAAGCAAAAAAACATTTAACTGGTTATTTTTTAAAAAGGAAGTAACTCACAGAACAGGGCAAGTTTTCTAAACTGCTGAAGGTAGAAGAAGCATTCATATGGGGTAAGTCAGCCAACACTGACTATGATGCTTCTGTAGGGACAGGTTAGGTAAAGAAGGAAGATCCTCTAGACAATTCTGAATTTTCTACCCTGGACCAAATTCCCTCCCCTCATGAGAGCTGATTGAATAATGAAAGCCATGAACTACATGCTGTAGTTTGAAAATGTGCCAATTTAGTGTTTTTCTTTATTCTTTGTTTTTTAATTATTAAGAGATATAATGAAAATGTTCCCATAAATTTGTAGCAAACAGCTAGAAGAAAGGTAACTAAGTAAAATAAGATACAGCCCGTCTTATCTTGTTTTGCTGATAGAAGTTAGTTAAGTAGAACAAAAGATTCCATAAAATTGAAACAATTGCTAAAAATAACTAAGTAAAATGGGATACAGCTGATCTTGTTTTGCTGAAGAAGTTAGTAAGTAGAACAAAGGTTAAGCTTTGCTTAATAGGCTTATAAGTATCAGCTTCTCCACCTCCAGGAGGGGCAAAGACACCATTTTCTGAACATGGAATGTATGAAGAAGGAGCGAAGACATGAGGAGTAGATATGTGATAGGCATACTGGAAAGTTGTACACTCTGGAGTACCCAGCCAATGAGGAAACAGAGGAGGGACTTTGTGGCCGGGATTAGAGACAGTGAATGCCTGCTTTGGTACAGTGTGTCTTAGTCCATAGGACACCCATGATTGCAACTGCATAATAAACTGGTCTGTTAACTTCATCCCTCCTGAGTCTGAATGAGTTATTTCTCACATTGTGAACTACCATTTATATTTTTTCCATGATCAATTTTTAAAAATATCAAGTAGCTTACAATTAGACTACAAACTTTTTGAAGGAAGGCACCATGACTTTTGGTTCTTCTGCTTCTCCATAGTTCCTAGAAAAGTGCTGGGCATGTTTTAAGTGTTTATTAAATATTTATTGATTGATTGTTTAGCTATTCTTTCACTTTAGCTATTCTTGGGGGCAGCTAGGTGGCGCAGTGGATAGAGCACCGGCCCTGGATTCAGGAGGACCTGAGTTCAAATCCAGCCTCAGACACATAATACTAGCTGTGTGACCCTGGGCAAGTCACTTAACCCCCATTGCCCAACCAAGGGGAAAAAAAAACACTTTAGCTATTCTTTCCTTACTGCTCCCTGCAACTGCGTGCTTAAATTCTATAGCCTCATTTTAATCCTAGTCTAAGTAAAACATTGTTAGGAAGAAGCATTTGCTCATTTCAAAGGCACCAGTGGATGATTCTCAGATTATACGATATTTTGGATTATTCCTACCACTACTTATCTTGAATAATAGAGACAATCAAGACAATTGATAACAGGCTCTCTTTTTCCTTCTTTTTTGTCTTACACATAGGTAATAGTGATCCAAAAATATTTCCGAAGGTGGCATGCCAAAAAATTTGTAGAAAGCTTAAGAGAACAAAAAAGAAAAAGGTTGGAGTGGGAAATGCAAGAAAAATTAAGGAAGGAAAAGGCAAAGAAAGAGTGGCTGCAAAGAGACTATAATCGGAGAATAAATCCACAAACAAATGAAGACTTTGAACTTCTTTTCCATGCCTTAGAAGGTAAGTTCAGTTTAATGTAGGCTCTAGAAATAACCAAAGAAATATAAATATATCAGGAATTAAATCTTATATAACACCCTTAGATTTTAATAAAGTAGAACTGAACAGATTAACAATTAAGCAAAAAAGGATGTTCCTGCTCTGTAAGTTTTTCCAAAGTTCTTCTCCCTTCCACTTTGTTTTCTTTAAATACATATGTATGTATTTGTATGTATACATAAGTATTACATAGTTAATATGTATAAAGTTCTGACTGTGTTGACCCCAATTTATATCACTTTGTATACGTCTTTCTATAACTCCTTGTATGCTTCATGTTGTTCTATTTTAAAGGCACAAAAATATTCCATTCACATATTAAAATTTAGTCAGCTATTCTCCAATCATCAGGCACACAGGTTGTTTCGAGTTTGTTTGCTTTTTTTTTTAGGATAAATTCCTCACTGTGATAGAATAAATTTTTACCTCATCATGTCTGAAAGTAATGATCAGTTTTATGGCTTTTGTTGTATATTGCCATCAATCTAAAGATATGCCAACAGTGCATTATCGTATTGTGCCTGGTTTTTTTTGCGCTACCTTTCATAAAAGACTGTGAACATTTATTTTATGAATGTTGTTGAATGTCTGACCTCAGACTCAGAATTTCATTTTATTGGAGAATTTTACTTTGTTTACATTTAACAAAAATGGTGGGCTTGTCTTTACTTCAGTCATTTTTTTTCCAGTAGAATTTATACTTTCTTATTTTTATTGTTTGTTATTAATTCAAACTTAAGAAAATCACTCTAAACAAAGTTTCTCTGTCCTATTAATTCATACTTATATAAGTTTCTTTAATGTGAACTTCACTTTTGCCAGTTGTTAGAGCTTTGTTATGGAACTCTCTTCCCCTCCTTCCATCTTGTCTCCATTTTTATGGAATATGCTTGATGAAAAATTTGGTGATTTAGCCAATGTAATTCTCTGAGGGTTCTTAAATTTAATTAGCAAGCTTGAAAAGTGTGAAATATTTTAAATATCTATCTTTCTGACTGGAAAGATTCTTTGTTGTTTATAGACTTCCTTGAAGTACTTATGTTCTAGCTTTATAGGCCTTGGTTACTATGGTAGAAAACTGAATTCTACCTAATACAGAGTAATTGGAAGCCCTCCCAAAAATACTTGAATTACCTACATTATTAGAAAAAATTCCTGTGAGAACATGTTAAGAATATGTTTAATTTTATAACTGTTGTATTCCAGTTTTCCAGTCTTTGAGAGTTCACTGCCTGGTACTTGTTTCTTGATAACTGACTTCTGTACTTCTTTTGGTAGCTTTTAAAATAGTTTTTCCTTATTGTTGTATAGTATGTTGAACCTTACCTGTGATGTGGCTAGGTATGTAAAAATTTATTTTTCTTTATTAGAGTCCTGTGGGTTCTTTCTAATTACACTGATGGTTATTATTGTCATCCTTGTCATTTACTAATTTTTGGAAATTTTGCTGGAAAATTTTTTTGATTTATAATATTTAAATGAACTTGTTTCAGTTTTCTTGGATCTCAGGAATCTTGAGACTGTTGGATCAGCATCTCAGCTCTATAGTTTTGAATCTCTATTTTTCTAATAATTTGGATGGTTCAGTGAGTTTTGTTTTTAGTTTGTATATTCAACTGCTTTGCATTGAGTATAGTTATGTTTTCCACTGAAATAAGTGTACTGTGTTGATTCTATGTTGTTTTTGTTTAAGTCTTTCTCTTGAATTCTTCTTATTGGTTATTTTCTTCATTATTTTTTCCCAGTCTTCTTATAGTATCATAGGATCCTGATTTAGAGGTGGAAGGTGCCTCAGAGCTCATCTGTTCCCCCACCTCATTTTAGTGAGGAGGACACGGGGCCCTGGGAGGTTAAATAGTTTACCCAAGGTTACCTGATAATAAGTGGCAATAAGAGCTGAGTTTCAAACCTTGGCTCCCTGTGCATCCAAATCCACTGTTCTTCCCATTGCCCCGTACTCCTTAATACGCACACCTGCATATGCATTTGCATGAATAGTGAGTTTCTCCTAGGGTTTTTTTTAACTTTTGTCAAGCTTTTCTCTTTTTTAATTTTGTGATTTTGTTAGTCAAAAAACATTAAGCGTCTACTGTCTACCAGACACTGTGCTGAGTTCTAGGGAAACAAATACAAAAACAACAGTCCTTGCCCTCAAGGAGTTTACAATTTAATAGTGAAAAACAGCACACAAACAGAAGCTAAAAAGGGAAGGCAGGTACCTGGTGTGGGGCATGATGGAGAAATCTGAAGGAATACAGCTGGTGGGAAATGAAGGGATGACTGGCCTGGACACTTTCTTTAAAGGAGAGGAGCTCTTTGCTCTATCTTTTATTCACTGGGGCAGAGGGTACTGGTGAGGTTTGAGTATCAAGGTTCAAGGGATCTTGTAGGATGATCAGGTTTCTGAGAAAGTCCAAAGGAGTGCAGCCAGGTGGGAAATTAGTGTTAATTTTTCACTAATTTCTTTGAATGATAGTCAGCATTTATTAAGCTCCTACTATGTGCTAGGCACTGTGCTAAACTTTGGGGATGTAAAGAAAGGCAAAAGACAGACTTTGCCCTCAAGGAGTTCACAGTCTAATGCAAACAGATATGTACAAATAATCTATATGTAGGATAAACAGAAAATAATCAACAGAGCTAAGGAATGAAAATTGAGGGATTGGAATGGATTCCTGTAGAAGATAGGATTTTATCTGGGACTTGAAGGAAGCCAGTGAAGCCAGGAAGCAGAAGTGATGAGGGCAGCATTCCAAATGTGAAGTCAGTCAGAGAAAATGCCAGGAGCTGACTTAGATGGTGTCTTGTTTGGAGAGCAGCAAGGAGGCCAGTGTCACTGGATTGTAGAGTAAATTGGGAAGAACTTTGACTATCAAGTAGGATTTTGTAAGTGATCTTGGAGGTGATTGGGATTTTATTTGGAGTTTATTTGTGTTTGGGGTGTGGGTGGGGGAGGGGATATCTGTGACACTGTCAGACTTATGCTTTAGGGAAATCACTTTGGCAGCACAATGGAGTGGCAAGAGACTTGTGGCAGACAGACCAACCAGCAGGCAATGGCTCTGGTGTAGCTGTGAGGAGATGAGGCCCTGTACCAGGATGGTGGAAGTGTCAGAGAAGAAAAGAGGACATTTTGGAGAGGTGCCACTGAGTAGTCAGATAAGGCGAGACCCAGAAGAGAGTGGTGTCCCCAAAACCTAAAAAGTGACTCAAGAAGAGGGTGAATAACGGTACCAAGGGCTTCGGAGGTCGAGGAGGATGAGGAGTGAGGAAAGGCTATTAGATTTGGCAGTTAAGAGATTACTGGTAACTTTGGAGAGAGCAGTTTCAGCCAGATGATGCCTTCAGAAGCCAGACTGTAGGAAGCAAAGAAGAGCTCGAGAGGAGAGGAGGTGAGACACCTATTTGCAGATGGCCTTCTGAAGGCGTTTAACTGTGAAGGGTGGGAGAGATGTGGGATGACAGTTATTGGGGATGGAAGAGTCAGGTGAAGGTTTTCTGACGATGTGGGTTGTAGTTGTTGATTCCTGGATGTTTCCATAAAATTTTTGAACCCAGTTTCATAAAGTATTCCCATTCTTTGAAAACTGTGAATAACTTTTATATTTGAAACTGGTGCCCTCTTGTGGCTTGTGATGAAACTACTGTTCCCTGACTGGAAAACTTCAACATCTTTCCTGTTTACTTCATTCTAAGCAAGTGGTAGCCATTCACCTTGCCAAGGGCAACCTCTTCATACATGTCCTTTATCCTATACCCTCCTGCCTTCTCCAGGAACTTGTATATAGTGCCTGCCATGTGCCATATACCATGCTAAGCATTTTACAAATATCTTATTTGTATTTACATAATTTTTACATAATATTTACATAAGATACTTACAGATATCTTATTTGATCCTCACAAAAGCCCTAAGTGCTATTATTATCCCCATTTTATAGTTGAGGAAACTGAGGCAAACAGAGATAAAGTGACTTGCCCAAGGTCATATATTAAGCGTGAACTCAAAAACTTAGTCTTCCTGACTCCAGACCCAGCAGTGTCCACTGTACTTCTTAGCTGCCTCAGAAGACTTGGCACTGAAGTCCTAAACAATGAGAGGGCCAAAGAACAAATCATAGAAACAATTAATGATTATGTGAAAAAAATGACAATGAAATGGCATACCAGAATTTCTGGGATGCAGTTAATGTAGTCCTTAGGGGGAAAAAATCATATCTCTACTAACATACATTAACAAAATAGAAACTAGAAGATTAATGAACCAACCATGCATTTAAAAACTAGAAATCCAACAAATAAACAAACATAAATAAGCACAAAAGAAGAGATAGTAAAAATGAGATAAAGAAACTGGCAACAGAACAACAATCTGTAGAAATAATGAGTGAAACTAAAAGTTGATTCTTCGAAAAGATTAAAAATATTAAAAACTAAAAGAGACTAAAAAACTTTAGCTAATATGATTGAAAAGAAGCAGAAAATCAAACCAATAAAATAGCAAATAAGCAAGAACTAAATCAGAAGAAATAAAAAGAATAATCAGAATGTATACATAGTTACATGCAAACAAAACTGAGGACAAAAAGGAAATAGAAGAATACCTCCAAAAATGTAAAATACACAAATTGATAGAAGACCAGATGGAGGTCTTGAATAACCTAATCTCAGAAAAGAAAATTGAACTATCCGCAAAGCAACTAACAAAGGGGGTGGGGGACCAACAACCCCTTAGCCTTATGGATTCACAAGAGAATAGCTGTCAGACTTTTAAAGAATACTTAGTACCTATACTGTACAAATTATTCTTACAAATTAAGAAAGGAAGCACCCTATTAGAATCCTTTTGTGAAACAAATATAATCCTAATACCTGAGTCAGGAAAGGAGAAAACACATAGGGCAATATCACTAAATGAATGTTAATACAAGAATTTTATTTTTTATTTAAAAAAAATTTTTTTTCTTTTTTTCTTTTTCTTTTTTTTTGGTTGGGCAATGGGGGTTAAGTGACTTGCCCAGGGTCACACAGCTAGTAAGTGTTATGTGTCTGAGGCCGCCGGATCCGATCTCAGGTCCTCCTGAGTCCAGGGCCAGTGCTCTATTCATTGCGCCACCTAGCTGCCCCCGAATTCAAGAATTTTAAACAAAATACTGTTAAACAGACTCTAGTGATTTATCCAAGAAATCATTCATTATGAGCAAATGATATTTATATCAGGAATGCAAGACGAATTCAATATTGGAAAAACAATCAATATAATTAATCGTTTTTAAAAACCGAAACATCCAAAACCTTATGATCATCTCAATAGAAGCAGAAAAGGCCTTTGACGAAGTATAGCACTCTTTTATGCTAAAAGCGAATGAACTATGGGTGTAGAGGGACCTTTAAAATGTATATATATATATATGTATATGCATATGTATATATATATTTTATATATGTATAATATATATATACACACACACATATACACACATACACACACACACACACACACACACACACACACACATATATATGTTTTTCTAAAAAGTTTCTAAAACCAAAAGTAAGCATCAAAAGCAAGCTTATGGGGATATATTAGCACCTTTACAGTTAAATAGGGGAGTAAAGTAAGGATGCCCAAACTCCACACTATTACTTGATATAGTTCTGTAAATGTTGGTAATGGCAGTAAGACTAGAGAGAGAAATTAAAGGCATAAATGTAGGTAAAGAGAAGAGAAAACTATCCCTATTTGCTGATGATATAAGGGGATACTTGTAAAACCCTAATCAGCAAAGATACTAATTGAGTTAATGAATACCTTCAGTAGAGTTGCAGGTTAGAAAATAAACTCTGGAAAAGCAACTGCATTTTTATATAACCATAACAAAATCCAAGACACAATAACAAAAAAGGGAAATCTCATTCCAAATAACTAAAAAATCATTAAGTATCTATAGATTGTTCTACTAAAGTACTCAAAAGAATCGCATAGATTAAAATGCAAAGTACTCCTTAAAGAAATAAAGAACAGCTTAAATAGCTGGAAGAACATTCAGTGCTCATTCATGGGCCATACCAATATAATAAAAATGACACCACCACCAAAGTTAATTTTCATTTTTAATGCTATACCAATCAGATTACTAATGGATACTTTATAGAACTTGATAGGCATAAGAGATAACTAGTGAAAAGGCACAAAGAAGGGGTCAGGAGATACATTATAGTATGCAGAGAAAAGCAAGAAAGCCTTTGCTACTGGACCATAGACTCCTAAATTTAGTTTTTGTGGAAGCTGTGGGTGTTCTTTGCTTTCGTCTAACAATGACATACTGATGTGATTTAGGATGGAGTCTAACAAGAGTCCGCTTGAATCTCTTGAACATCCCCATTTGGCCGTATAAACGTGGAAGAATTTGGGAATTTATGTAGCTAGAGGACATAGTAGCCATAAATGCCCTGGAGTGCACTGGGGACAGAAGAGTGAAGGCAGGAGTTGGAGAAGTGGCTCAAAATGGGGGTGGGAAGGCAAAAAAGACACTTATACCTATATTGTAATTTTGCTTAGGGCCTTGGCCCTGCCTCTTGTAACTTAAAAATCATTGTGGTAGATTGATAAGGTATTAGTATGAGTTTGGAAGTTTAGAAGCCTGGAACTCACATACTCAGTCTCTCTTGTGCATCCACCCCCATTCCTTTCCCATGTAATTTTGATCAGAAGCCATGACTGAGGCTATACTGAGCATTCCTTTCACTTGGGAAGGAGCTAAAAAGTGAAGAGAGAAAGGTGAAGGATGGAGGCCTAATAAGATTGACAGTTACATGTAGTTAAGTTTCATTTGTGATTTCCTGTGACGCTTTTTTACAAAGAGGATCTATTCATCAGTTTAAAAAATTTCATTTTTTGCTTTCCTTTCCAGAGAGGATTCCTCTTATCTTTTTCATTATCCATCTTCTCTTCCTGTATAGAATAGACCTTGGTTCATGATCCCTATAATTATCTAGTCTCTCCCTATTTTCCTTGTTTCTCATGCAATCAGAACTTCCAAGGTATCTATGTTAGGTTATCCCTTTTAGGCCTGTTTCTGCCTGCCTTATAGAACTTGTTCCTTGTCCCCTTTTCCTTTGTACCTAACTCCCAAAATAATGCCAATTCCTGTATAGTAGAACCATCACCCCACAGTGTTTCTGATTATGCAGCCCACTACTGTTCTGTTTTCTCCTCCCCCAGCTATCTGATGTAGCCCCAGGAAGCTTCTGCCCCTGAAGTGCTTGCTGACTTAGCACTGGTTGCCTGTGGTGGCTTGAACCAACACCTGTAGTCTGGACCTTAATCTCCATGGCACCAGAAAGTGAAGGGGGGGACCAGGGTGGGTCCTTAGGTTTTGTTGCAGTCTATATATCAGGTCATTAAGTTGGCTAGTGAAGCCTTTCTACCAGTAGTGTGGTTAGAGAAGGGGATGTTGAATGAGCTCAGGATAGGCATCAGTTCATGGTTTGTTTTTGTTTTAGTTCTTGTTACCTTCTTTTGGATTCTGGGTGTCCAAGATCATGGAGACAGTTGAAGTTGCTTTATTTTTGGTGTATAATTTCCATTTTGGAGATGTTTGAGAGGTTGTGAGGATCAGGGAAAATGTTTAGTCTTACATCTTGGTCCAATAATCCCCAAATTGCATTAGCTTTTAATAGATAGCAACCTAATCCCTGTTGGATTACAAACCGGTGGTTTGGTGTGAGTTAATGAAAAACAATAACCACAACAAATAATTTTATAACATATTGTTGACATATTATAAAGTTGGTTTAAATTGTGTAATCTGGTATATGTCTTAGAGGAGAAAAGTGCTTGAATCTAAGTAAATTTAGGAAACAAATCGAATTAGTAATACTTTGTAAATTTAAAAGTCAGATCTTTTCTTCAGTAGTTCTTCCTCATGTTAGTAAGGGTATGTTATTTTCTTTTTGTCACATGAAAATCTCCTTTACACAGTCTACATTCTAACTTTTGCCCTTCAATCAGATGTGATTCTTTTTATGCTCAGTTATGTTTCAAAGGTTCATAAGTTCAGAACACTGAATTTACCAGACTTAAACGAACTTAAAAATAAGATACCCATTGTTTGGACATGATGGCAAAATAAGATTTGGGATTTTTTTTTTAACTGAGAATCTTTCACTTTTTTCTCCATTGTAGTTTGGAGGCAAGAACAGCTCCGTCACATTGATCAGAATTTCGCTGGGGCTAAAAGGAAAGCTGCTTTATGTGAACTTTTAGAAAAAGAAACACAAATAATTGCTTCCATTGGGAGGCAAAGAATCCTTGCCAATAATCAGAAGTATGAAAAGTCAGTATCTGCATTGTTGGATAAGGTTGGTGAAATAATTGTCATTTGAATATTAATAAATCCCAAGCATAAAAATATGACAGAAAGATTTAAACTAGTGGAGAGAACACATTTTGGGAATGCTCTTGAACTGTGGTTAGAACTTTACTTATCAATTCAGAATGTATTTGCTGATAAATCCCTATTTAGTGGATTTGGAGTCAGAGAGGACCCCAGTCCTAATTCCAGCTCTGCCAATAAAAACCTGTGTGGCCTTAGACAAATCACTTGTTTTAGTTTAGTTTTAGTTTAGCCTGAGTTTCTTCATTGGTCAAATAAGGAGGTTGGACTGGATGATCCTATAAAGCTCTTTCCGACACTAATATATGATACTGTGATCCTTTACAGCAGCCTCAAATGGAGATTAATGATATGAATCATATTTTCTTATAAAATGAACATATTCTAAGCAAAAGAGATTTGCCAAGACAGAAAAAAGAAACGTGTTTGTAATTCTTTTGGTTTGGATTTAGGTTGAATATAAAATGGCACAGGTAAATGCATGGGTTACTTCAGTGATTTTGTCTCCTGAGTCAGGCAGATTTCTCCCAGCAGCCTGTGGGATGTAGTAGCGATTAATTACTTTACTCTAGCACAACAGGTCATTTTGTGACTGGAAATTCTTGACCAAAAGGGCATTACTATTATTGTAAACTGTATAAACATAGAATTAAGAAAAAAATGTAAGTAATTACCCTTTTATGTGTTGAAACTGCCTATTTGATATTGAACAACCTGTTGCCATGGGGACGAAATTATTTTTATATTGTTGTCTCTCCAATATAATTAAAAGCCAAAAAAGTAGAAAAGAGAAAGAGTTTTCAAAGTCCCTACTAATTTATGATGATGTTTGGCATTCTCTGTTCAGCATATAGTCTATAACTTATCCGAGGGTCTCAAAGTGTATTTAAACTATGCACTGCTTCTTAAGCTAAGGGAACTAATAGTTAGATGATCTTATTCACCAATAAAAATCAGCTACCCCTTCTGGAGAGAAATGAAGCAATTTATAAACAGTATATATACTGAAAGTAATTTTAAGTTTTCAGTGAAGATTACCATTAACAGTGAAGTTGAAATGAAGACACTGTAGTAAACTATAGAAGTCCTTGGGAGGCACCTACAGTATTTGTTTTTTTTTTTTCTAGACATCCTCAGGAGAGTATTGTGCTGAAATGGAGTGTGGACTTTAGAATTTTCCAAAAAAAGAGTTCTTTGTAATTCTAGAAATGTTGTGGCTTTTCAAAGAAACAATATTCTGGATTAAGTGGGTACTCTTGGAGTTATGTTTCAACAGTTTGTACTTAATCCAGACAGGACTTCTGTCATTAACCTGGTGTTTTGTAGACCTAATTTATCAACAAGGGAATTGTAATAAATATTTATATAATCTTATTTATAATTGGGCCTTAGTTGATAAAATTTTTTATTCTATGAAGAATGGAATACCTCAATAGACTAATGATAGCCTCCATCCCAAAGAAGTATGCCCTAGTTAAAAAAAAAAGCCCTCAAATGATAGTTAGAGGGCTTAAATGTGAAACCTTGCTCTAATATTTGCTACATGTGTGACAATGGTGAAGTTATTTTGCCTCTGAGAACCTCATTTGTAAAATGAGGGGATTAGGACGAAATCTTCTTTAATCTCCAAATCCCTTGATCCCATAAACCTATTGTGAATGATCCCTGTGGGGAAAGCCATTTTCCCATTTGATTTCAAGATGAGAGATATGAATTGGGGATTGCTAAACACTGAAAGATCCCTGGTTTTGATAGGTGAATAAATTTGATGAACCCTGTTCTAGAAGGCAGCTTGGTTATATATGAGTTTCTAGTATCATAATGAATGTAAACTTATCATGGCTTGCTCCTAGTAATTTTATTTTATTTTATTTTTTGACACTTACTAGATGTTTATTGAATGAATAAAAAAAATTGTAAATTTGAAGCATTTTTGAACACCTGACTTCTACCTTTCACAATCTTAACTTGGTAATTCAACTCATCGACCTTTGAATCCCTTACTCTCTAGTACTATTACTAGTTCTGCCTTGCCAAACTACCTTCTTCCTCCTTTGCTTCTACTCCAGGATTGATAAAAGCTGTTGGAGAAACTCATGTGACCACAAGGCAGGATTCCCTACTTATTTATATTATCTAATCTCTGATAGGATCTCAAGGCTACAGGGTAATCTTTTTATTCTTTCTTGATTAACTATCATGCTTTCCACCCAAGTCATTCCAAACCTTTTCTTTTCTTCTAAAACCCCATACCAGTCTGTCCCTCACGGTAGAGGAACTCACTTTAGCTACACACAGAGGTGTTCATGATCTTGACCTTGCTGTGATCCAAAAAGGTTCTCCTTCCATGTCTAGTCTTTTGTCATCCCATCTTACTCTATGTCTTACCCCAACTTTGATCCCTAACTCCATTGTTTGTCTTCACTGTCCTCCAATCCCTCCCCATGTGGTTTTTTCCCAGGCCAGCAGTCCTGCTCTTACCATATTCTCTATTTCAACCCCTTGGTGAATCAGTTCAGCTAGGTTCTGTCCTTTATGCTCTTGCTCCCTCGTCCTATCATGCCTTGCCAAACTCCAACCTTGAAATTCTGTCATCATTTGCCTCCTTTGCTTTGCTTGACATGCTATTGAACAGAGCTGATGAGAATCATGGAACCACTTAGATCAGGCCCATTACTAATTTATGTTATTTAATCTCAACTGGGCCCTTACTATAATACAGTAAAATTTTTACATATCAGTTTGCTATCCCATTCACCAAACCACTCACCACTAATCCAAAACTTTTCATTCCTCCTTAAGCCTCTTGTCACACTTCCTTTCCACCCTCTCTCAAGTGAGGACCTTAATTCATATTTCATTGGAAGAAAGGAGGCTATTCTATGAGATTTCTGTTTTCTTCTCCACTCTGCTTCCCACATTAATCAAAAGACTTCCCACATTTTCTTCTCCCTCATTCCGGTCTCACACGAAGAGGTGACCCTTCTCCTTGCAAAAGGAAACCCCTTGATATGTACCCAGGCACCCATCCCATCCTGTCTTCTCCAGCACCTCTCTCTCTCCCTTCCTCTTGCATTTCTTCCTGCTGTTTTTGTGTTTTGTAAGTCTGGTGCTCTGCTCTGTCTCATTTGTTGGCAGCTAACTGAAATTTATAAAGGGCTCACTTTCTGCAGCAATTCAGCGAACATGATTATTGTGCATTTCTTATTGCTGCCAGGACACTCTATGGAAGAAGAAAGCTAGGAAAGAAAATCAACCCATTTGAAATGGTCATGCCCACAATTGCAAATCCTTAAAGGCCTGAAATCAGAGAAGTCAGAAACTGAAGACCAAGTTATTAGTGTTGGCAACTTTGGGGCACTTAGTGGAGGTTAGTATTTGTTAGTGAGGCTGTATTTTATTTATGAGTACTTTGTTTCCTTTTGAATGATGCCTTTAAATAAAAACCCAGCCTGCTTGTAAGAAGATTTCAAAAGGTCATTAAATTGTACTCTTTGAGAGAGAAATTTTTAAAAATATCCAAGAATTCAATGAATTTGATTTTCTGTTTTATATGGAGGTCAGTCTCAACTTTCATTAGTTTGTCTTGTCTGAAGTTTACACAGAAGGGAGAATAACTTCTGGGATATAGGAGCATTAATGGCAATATACTCCACTCCCGTGTCTGGGGGGCTACATAGGGAGGGTGTACAATTCCAGATCTCTTCTGTAAGTGGGTATGCTGAATGTTTTCAGATTCCTTTTTTACTTAAAAAAAATCCAAGTTTATTGTTGGAAGGGTATAATCCATTAGTACTTTAAAATCTGGTTGCAAATCCAGTTAATTTGTGATTTAAAGGTATCATTCATCAAAGAAACAACTTAACTACATGTAAAATACAATTTCACTGAAATAGCTAGGTCATATAGTAGAGCATTGGGCTTAGAGTCAGGAAGATCTGGATTCAAGGCCTGATTCAGATAGTTAGGTGTGTGCATATGGAAAAGTCACTTACCACTCTCTTACCTTCAGTTTCTTTATCTCTGAAATGGAGATAATCCAAGCTGTAGCATTTACCTCCCTGGGATGTTGTGAGGATCAAATAAGATAATATGTATGAAGCAATTTGCAAATCTTAAAGTCATTTCTTATTATCTCTTCCATTGCCCCAGATTGTCAGTACTGGTGAATTGTTTGTCAGTTCTCAGATTCTTTGATAGCAACTTTCATAGATGTATATAAGAAAGGTGGTGATACAGAAATAGGTGTTACCTTGAATTGATTGTAGATATAGCATCAGAAGAAAATATGTTATTATATAAATTTTTGTACTGTGAGAAGTGAGAGGCTGAGAGGCACAGTGAAGGAGCACAGGCAAAGAGCCGAGAGACCTGGACTCTCTGAGAGTGGAAGAGCCGGTTGGAAGCTCTTTGGCTAGATTTGTTGTTTGACCTTGGACAAATTCCTTTTCCTAAGGTTCTCTTGGGTTCTGTGTCTCTCATGTGGGAATAATAGCAATTCCTTACCTCCTCCTTCAGACTGATTCTAGGGATCACTTCTGCCAGTCACCTATTTATTGAGTACCCCCATTTATTGAGGACAACGAGACAACATTCACATTATGTGACAAGGGTCTTTTGAGAGCAGACAATAAAGTTGGAAAGGCAGGATGAAACGGAAAGCAATTAAGTGCTAACTTTGTGGTACTGACTGTAAAAGTAATGCGAGATCAAATTAGTGAGAAATCCTGGTGGGATAGGATAATTAGAGAAATCTTAATGGAGGAGGTAGGACTTGAAAGCTAAGCAGGGTCTGACTAGGAGATACTCTATGTGAAAAAGGCTTCAAAGTGTATGGAGCCCTCACTAAATGGCAGAATATGACCACATTCGACAGAAAGGGCAGGGAAAGAATGGCCTCTTATAATACTTTTAACATTTGATTGTCTGAGACAAGAATCTCTGAAAAAAGATATTTATAACTGAATTATTACAAATGAAATAAGTTGCTGACTAGCAGAGTAACAATTGAGGTAACACAAAACTTGGAATTAAAAACATGGCTTAAAATTACATAACTGTTATTTTTATTATTATTATTATATTTATATTACATATATTATATTTAAGGAAAAAATTATAATTTTCAAGGGGAAAGAAAGTCATGGAAATAAAATCTTTTTTAAAAAATTAAAAAAGAAAAAGAAAAAAGTAAACTTTGATTTCTCTATATTGGACCAATAATAAAGAAGGCTGTGTTCATTTAGAACAACACTTTTTGATTTCTAATTCATCAGTCCTAAATGTTATACTATTTTATAATCAGGTTATTTCTATTCCACTTCAAAGTGCTTAATAGGTTTCAAATTAATTCTGTTAGTTTTAAAATAAATTACTTAATTTTAGATTTGTATTTTAATGATCCACATCCTTTATGGTTTCTGAGGTTTGATGTGTTCTTGAGACCAGTCCTAGGAATGTGGAATTTTAAAACTTCCTTTTTAGCCATGAACCTACTTTTAGTTTGTCCTTCAGTTGATTGCTTGACATTGCTAATTACATGTACTAAAAGGGTGGAAGAAAATGTCATAATTACTGAAAAATGTAAAATATTATTTAAAAAAACCCAGTTTTTTTCTCATCATAAAATTACCTGATACTTCTAAAAAGAAATTTGAATGGAAGCTTGCAAATATAACTTGAAACACTTCTTAGTAATATAATTAGAAATATAAAATATATTTAGTAATATAATATTATATGTCTCCATTTTGCTGTTTCAAGGCAGCTAGGTGCCACTGTGGGTAGAGAGCTGGGCCTGAGGTCAGGAAGACTCCTTTTCTTGAGTTCAAATCTGGTCTCAGTCACATACTGGCTCTGTGACTCCGGGCAAGTCTCTTAACCCTATTTGCTTCAGTTTTCTCATTTGTAGCTAGAAAAGGAAATGGCAAACCCCTCTAGCATCTTTACCAAGATAACTCCAACTGGGGTTACAAGTCGGACATGACTGAAAAATGACTGAACAACAAAACACTGCCCCCCCCCAATTTATTCTAGCTGTCATTCCTATTTACATTTAACAAGGTAACAAATTCAAGATTGACAAAGTACTATGAAAAGCAAAGCATCCTATGACTAGGGCCAAAGCTATTAAAAACAGTCTGCAGTCAGCCAGCAAATATATTCCACTTCAAAACAATTATCAAGTAATTTCATGAATCAATCTTTTGAACTCTCATAGCCTAGTTTTAGATAAATTATATCTAAGGAAGAAAATTAACCTGTCAGCACTTTGGGTAGATCCTCTGTGAAGGATTTATGGGGAGAACATACTCAAGAATCTCACTGGATGAGAAACCACAGATAAGTTGCAGTGGTCAAGAAGAGGAGATACCCATATCAATGAGAACATGGATGCACATGTGTAATATGTCTATATATATTATATATGCATATATACTGGTATACATGTGATATATACATATATATATTTATATACACACTCAACACCCACATTGCAGTATCAGAGTATCATATTAATGTCAAACAGATGTCATGTAGTGTTTTTTTTTTATCCATAAGTAATTTTAGGTTTATTTTGCACTGATCCATTCAGTTCATCTGTTTATCTCTTCCTTCTCCACCTCCCAATCCCAAACTCATGTATGAATGCACCCGCAACAATTCAGTGGAAGGGACAAGAGTCTGGAGAGGAGTCACTTCTTTCCCCTCTTCATAGTTCTTGGCTTGATAGCCTATCAGGGTGGGGAACCTGCGGCCTCGAGGCCACATGTGGTCCTTTAGGTCCTCAAGTGTGACCCTTTGACTGAATCCAGATTTCACAGAAAAATCCTTTTATTAAGGGGATTTATTATTTATTAAGGGGATTTATTCTGCGAAGTTTAGACCTAGAGGACCACATGTGGCTTCGAGGCCGCCGGTTCCTCACCCTTGGTAGATGTCTCCAGATCTGGTTAATGGCTATAATAGGTTGCAATGGTGGCTCCGGGTTAGGGGATCTGGACCACGGACTACAAGACAAGATGCCAGCTTGGGATTTCTCAGTTTAGTGTTCTGAGTCCAGAGCTCCAGAGCCCCAAACTGGAGTAATGATAGAGCCCATGGACCCATAGTACTTATAACTACAGAAATTACCAAGGAAGCAGCGTCTCTTGAAAAATACTCACCTTATAATTTTGTAACAGTTTAAAAAAAACTATTCCTCTTTTTAGATCTAACAAACAGTTGTTCTACAACATTAATTGCCACGAACAGGGGTGATTTGGCAAATCATGTCCTCTAGAGGCAACCTCCTAAACATTCTAGTCCTTATGATAAGGCAAACGATGTTTGTTTGTTTTTTACAGTTTCACTCTGGTTCCTTGGCAGAAGCTTCACATGGTTTCTATCACATTTTCCAAAATTGGTAGTCCATAATATTTCATATTCCTATTCTATGAAAATTTCAAGATTGTATCAGCTGTTATACATTAGAGTATTCCTTTAAGTGTGTCAAGATTATCTGAGCTATTCTCTGTTGGGCTTCTTTTCCATGGTGCGAGCAGTTCACTACAATGTTTAGAAGGTCGACAGCCCGTTTTGGGCAGAAATCTAGTGGCTGATGAGCTGAATGGCAGTGTCTAGGACAATGTCTGCCAACGTTGAGCATCTAGGGACTGAAGGATTCATACTGATCATATATCATAATCATACTAGTTTTTAAACATGTAAAACATAGTTTCTTCACTTTGACAGGTTTGATAGGTTACTCCATATAAACCCTTTTTAATTCACCATACTACATACTGTAACTACTCATGAAAACAAATAAAGTATTTTTTTCTTTTTTAAAATTTTATTTATTTTATTCTGAACTTAAGAAATAAAACAAGCATTTCTCTAACATAGTAGAATAGAAAAAAAGATGATTTTACATGAAACTGCAAATCTGTTAAGTATAACTTGCTATTCCTTTTAAATATATAATAAAGTTATCATGTAACTTTCTTTTTTTCCTTTCTTCCTTTTTTTCTTCCCTCCCTCCACCTTAGAGATTGCTACCATCAGACACAAATATGTGTGTGTGTGTGTTGGGGAGGTGAGGTATACATGTAAAACCATTCTATATATACTTCTATTTATCAGTTCTTTCTCTGGATGCAGATAGCATTTTCCTTTATAAGTCCTTTGTAGTTAGTTTGGGTATTTATAATAGTCAAAATGACTTAGTCACTCAAATTTGTTCTTAAATTATTGTTACTATATACAATGTTCTCTTGGTTCTGCTCATTATGCTCTTCATTATTTTGTGCAAGCCTATCCAGGTTTTTCTTAAATCATTGAACTCATAAATTTCTTATAGCACAGTAGTATTCCATCACAATCATATTCCACAACTTGTTCAGCCATTCTCCAATTGATGGGCATCTCTGCAATTTCCAGTTCTTTGCTACCACAGAGAGAGCCGCTATAAATATTTTAGAACATGTAGGTTCTTTTCCTTTTTCCTTAATCATCTTGGGAAACAGACCTATTAGTGGTATTGCTGGGTCAAAGGGTATAGGCAGTTTAATTTTTGTACAAATAAAACAGATGCAACCTAGATCAGATGGAAAGCAGAAAACTGGGGAAAATGTTATAGACAGATTCTCAGATAAAGGTTTCAGGAGAAAATTTTATAGACAGATTCTCAGATAAGGGTCTCATGTATACATGTCTCAAATATATAAAGAACTTTGTCAAATCTACAAGATACCCAATTGGTAAATGATCAAAAGATATGATCAGGCAGTTTTCTGATGAAATCAAAACAATTTATCGTCATATAAAAGTGCTCTAAATAATTATTGATTAGAGAAATGCAAATTAAAACATCCTTGAGATATCATTTTATACCTGTCATATTGGCCAAAATGGTTGGAGCAGATGTAGAAAAAGTGAGGCATTGCTTCACTGTTGGTGGAACTGTGAACTGATCCAGTCATTTTGGAGAACAATCTGGAATTATGCCTAAAGAGTTATTAAACTGCCAAATAAAAGGTTAAAAATAGTCTTTGTCTTCTAATTATCATACTTAGTTGCACTGTTTCTGACTGTTCAACATTTCTGTGTTCTTACAAATCTTTAATTCATTCTTTTAGTTATAATTGATGTTCTTATCAATGATTGTGTTCATTTAACGTGATATTAGGTAATCTTTGGGTTGGTAGCAACAAAATAGATATCTTCAGTCTTTAATGAATTAATATGAATATTAATACAAATAAATGTATTTTTTGAAGTGTTCAGCTCCAAAGAAGTGGATATCGTTTGATGACAATGAAACATTAATGGATACACAATATACTATCAGAGCCAGAGAGCTGAAAGATATCTATAACTGCATTATAATTAAAAACATCTGTGATGATGAGAGGCTAGATGTGCTATTAACACTGAAACACACTGTAAAGGTACTTTTCTCATTGATTTTGGGGTAAAAGGAATGTTTTGATTGAATCCTGATGTAAACCCAAAATATCTCAAAGTAAAATCTTATTTTTTATCAACCAGCCCAGCTTTTCTTACTTAAATTTGGCAGATTATGGTTTTGCAGTTTCAAAATTAGTGTCCGTCAAGACTTACATTGTACTTTCATCTTTTTCTTCTATGAAATATTTATATTTAATTCAGAGTATGGCATAATGCTAAATACTTCATTCAGAAGTAGGAAGAGAAACAATGTAAGCAAAAGGCACAGTGCTAATTCCAACAGAACCAGGCATGTGCAGAAGAGTATGTGGGGACCAGCCCAGCTGGAGTGGAGTGTGTATGTGTGTTGGGCATACTCAGATTCACCCTCTAGTTGATAGAGTCATATGTCCCTAATTTTCTTACTTGTTCTTTTGTCCAATTTCCTTTTCTTTTTTTTTTTCTGCTCTGCTCATCGAAGTTGCAGTTATCTTTTGCATTACCGTATCTATCCTGTTCATCTCCTTTTTAATGATTTTTTCTTCTTTCTTGGTATTTTCTTATTCAAACACTCTCTTTCACATTAAAATACAAGTGTGAGTTTCTTTTAAAAAATATTCTGCATGATAGGTCAGGAAACTGATCAGTAATGAAATGATCAAAATCTATCAAAGAACTTTTTGTCTTCTATAGGAACATGAATGTAAACTGACCCAGGACATCTTAGAATTGATTGACCGAGAGGTTGATCTTATGATGAGAGGAGTTAAAAGCTGTAATCTTGAAGGACTCAGACAAAGAATAGCTACACTATTTCTTCAATACATTAAAACACCCTTGTTTAATCCTGAAGTCACCAGATACCTTAAGGTATTTTTCTATTTTTTCTATATTACCTTTTCTACGTTTTCAGCTATAATCTGCATGGAAAAATTAAAAAATACTGCAGGCTTGTTTTTGAACACCATGAACACTTAGCAGTTTAACCTACTTAAAGGGTAGGCCTTTTAGTACGTCAGTAACTAAACACTTTGCCCAGGGTGGGGGGGAGGTTAGAGTTCTTCATTGAATCTTTTTTTTTTTAAACTAAATTCAACCAGAAACACTATTGGCCTCCTAGAACAAGACTGTACTATTGTGAAAATGACCAGTGTATACCCCAGTGAGTCAGAGGTAGCTAAGGCAACCTCATTCCTCTAGAACAGAGATATCAAACTTATGGTCTCCCTGCAAAAATTACAAGTGCAGCCTGAACTGGATTAAAATGTAACTGGGAAATGTTTAACAAAATAAATAAAAATACAGTACAACATAGATAATGTTAATTTGTGGTTTTCTAAGTCAATATACCACAAGAGGGATCTGATTCTATTTGAGTTTGAAACCACTGCTCCAGGAGATCTCAGGAAGTAAGTTAAAAAGGCCCCTGAACACCTGAACTAGCCATCATAAAGCTAAAGCCTATGAGCTATATTCCATAGGTTAAGCCCAGAGGCTCTCACTCAGAGCCTATTTGCCCTTTCATAACCTACATTTATGAACAAATTTGTTTATCTAGATTCTCAGCACATAACAGGACAGAAGCAGCAAGTTAGAAACAGGATATTAGCAATTAAAAACAGGCTAAAACAACAACAGTGAGAAATAACAGCTGTTATTTAAACTCAAGAAGCCAACCTAAAACTGTGCCCCATATTGTTAGATAAGTTCATAATCATGATCCTCAGTCATCAAAAAGAACTGAAATTTTATTGAGTAGTCTCTTTCATAAGGCAGAGATTAATGTAATAGACTGCATAGTGTAGTGGAAAAGGGAAATATATTAAGAGCCAAAAGATGTATGTCTAATCACGGCTCTGCCATTAACCACCTCAGGCCTTGGGCAAGTCATTGGATTTCTCTGGTCCTTAGTTGCTCCATATGTAAAATGTGAGAGCTGGACCTAAAAGGGCCTCAACGATCCTTAGCGCTCTGAAAATTCCAGTACTCTAATGTGATTTCCATTAAAAAAGGTAACATTTTTTCAAATCTTAGTATGTGAGGAGGTAAACCTTAATTGTTTCAGAGGTTATGTTTTGTGGAACACCTTAATGCTGCTAGATAGATAAAGCATTTGTCACAAGGCCCTTTCTTGTGAATTCAGGAAGGGGTTACTGAGATAAAAGAATTAGGTGGACACGTGGCCTCCTCAGTATGGCTGTTTTTGTCCCAGCCCTTCCTCTATGTCTTCCCCCTTCGTATGATTCCTGCTCATTAAGGCACCAAAGGTCTTTTCCTCATTCTTTTAATATCTCCAGTGTGGCATCTGCCTGATTCTTTCTTATCCCATGACCCGCCCCCTTCTTTTTCTGGCTGTCTATAGGAGCACAGACATAGAACTTAGAGGACCCTTTATGTTCTCTATTGTGTCTTTGCTGCCCCTTCTCATGTTCAGGTCATGGGTAGTCCAACCATTTGGCATCTTTCTTTTACCTTTTCAAAAGCAGGAGAGATACCTTCATCCCATGAGCCATTTTAATTTAGGTAGACATGGTTTCTATTTGAACAAAAGATGTTTATCACATGTCCTATTAAAAAATAATTAGTGAAATAAACTTAATTACCTTTTATATAGGGGAGTGTTAACTATATAATTTCCTAGGTATAGAGTGGGAAAAATTCCTCATCCTTTATTCTCCATCCAGATTCTTTGTACTTGTCATTTACAGTGTCATTGTCAGTTGCTGCAGAGTTTTATGAAGAACCAGTAAGTGTTCCCTGAAGAACTTTTGGAGAGTTAAATCTTACAGCTTTGCCCCAGTCACTTTCTACCTGAAACTTGGGCTCATGGACACTTAGCCTAGTACTAGATCCCAAAGGGGCATGGGTGGCAGCCTGCATTCTATACGTAAAGCCCTGGAAGGACACAGAAGACCCTGTGGCTCTGCAATGAAGAGTTGAGCTTATTAGCTGCAATGAAGTCCGCTTATATTCTTAGTCCCGTGTCATGTCCACACAACAGGAAGATAAAGACCTTTTACCAAGGTCACTCCACAAACTAATCAGCAGAGTTAGAAATGAACTCAGAAATTTTGTCTCTTCAATCTTTGTTCTAATTCCTAGAACCATTTTTTTTTTACCGACAAATTAATTGATTAAGATTTTAAATTGACAGACAGCTTTTCCTCTCAAGAACAAATTGTAAATGAGCATTATCCTTTTGTAAGATGAAAGATCTATGAGAAAGGAGTAGAGGAGAAGAGAGGGGGAGAAAAGTGAAAGATATTGAGAATGGAAGAAAGCATGGGGAATCAGCGAACTATTTTAACCCTACACGAGAAAGCATGAAATACCCTGACATTAATTCCTATTCCCTACTCTATGAAGAGATACTTTATAGAACCCTTCATATTATATGAATGTCTAGTGGAGCAGGCTCATGCTCTGTTCCTGCCTGATCCCTTGAGCGTGGATTTAGACCTGTAGGAGGTCTTCATCTTCTTTTGTGTCCAAGGTTGTGTTGGCAGTCGGGTGAAGACTTGGGTCCCCTTTTCATAATAATGTTTTTAAATGTATAAAGTAACATACATAGGTTAACAAAGGAAGCCAAGAGGTAATGAAAATAAAGATGTAATGTTTTTCCCATACACGTTTACAGACCCCTGAAGTCTATTCTTGGACCCCACGGCAAGGAGGAATCTTTGAATTTCAGGTTAAAAAACCTCTCAGGGTAGGGAATTCTGAAGAGATAGGATATTCACAATCCTCCTCTATGATATTCTGTCCAGAGCTATTGAATCAACTGGTTTGTTTGCTGAATCATTTCTTGTGCCCTGCTCCTCTGAAATCCTTAAATGGCCAATTTCCCTTGAATTAATGTTATTGTTCTTATACATAGTCCAAACTGGTTGGTAAGGTGATTGAAATAACTAGACCATCTAGTTGATAGTTCTGTTATTTATGCTGTCTAGACATGGTCTCATTAGAATAAGTAATGCAGCATGCTGTTGGAAATACAGAATGTCTGATGTCCACACACACACACACACACACACACACACACTCTCTCTCTCTCTCTCTCTCTCTCTCTGCTAAAAGACTTCCTAGGAGGTAGGAGACAAGAATTCTAGCCCTTTCACTGATTAGCTTAAAGACCATGAACCTAATTATTTGCAGGATAGCTTTAGCTTTATAGTCTCCTCAGCATAGAATGGGAAGAATTCTTCATCCTTTATTAACCTGTATGTGTTTTCTCCCTCGTACCTGGTACGTAGAAGGCATTCTCCAACATGCTTGTTGGAGGAAAGGAACTGTCTAACTTTTTTCATTTGCATGCCCATTGCTTAGACAATACTTTGGCCATAGTAAAAGCTTAATAAATGCTTTGTCATTTATTCATTCATGACAACCTCTCCAATCTAGGACAGTTTACTTGATTTCTTTGAATCTGTTTCCTTATCTGTAAAATGGAAATATTTATACCTACCATCCATTAAACAGAAAGTTGTTGTGAAAGCATTTTGAAAATTATAAGGTATTTTGTAAATATATTATCATTCCTAAAAGAGAATGTATTTCCATATCAACTTCACAGAAAATTGTTGTTTTCTTAATAATTGGTGACAGATTCCTTTATCTAAAGTATTTAAACAGTTATTCTTTTTGAAACATAAATGCTTTAGTGTCTAGTTTTAAAATAAAAAAAATTCCTAGAGCTGCAAATATTGTTGAAACACCATTTTAATATGCAAACTATCAGTGCGTATATTGATCATTAATGGCCTCTTAGGATTTTTAAATTATCAGAGCTAGTGGTTTGACCTAAGATTGAAATCTTCCAATTTTTCCATTTAGGTTCCTCCAGATCCAACAAAGTTTTATAAAAATGTTTACTTTTGTCGCAGTTGTGAGATGTATTTGCCATCTACAGAGTTTTCCATTTCATCCACTTCCTACCATGTTAGCAGATGTCGTCAGTGCTGTATGCTTGACAATGAAGCTCGACAGCGTGAAGCATTTTTGAAATACAAGTTTTTACTCAAACAGCTCTATCAATCAGAAGCTGATTATGAAGATGATTCTAAGATTGCTTACCTGATGCAGGTATGATCTGTATCATCCGTTAGTGACTGGTCATAGAGATGATTGTCTCTCCTTGGCTTGGCTCTTTACATAGCATTTTGAAATGGAGTGATAGTAACACCAATCAGAAACACTCTGGAGTGAGAACCAGTGTTCTTGGTTTTTTGCCACGTAGATTGGGTGTATGTATAGTTCTAGAGAAGTGTGCACAATTCTTGAGCCACTTTCTTTTGACTCCATTCGGAAGGAATAGATGTAGGCATGATATCCTCTCCATCATATGGTGATCTTTGTTCTATACCTTTGCATTATATAGACTTACACCTTCCTATGTTTTGGAAATTGATTGTCTCTAACCCAGAAAGTCAATCCTCAAGAAGGAAGGCAGCTTTTGTTTTGTAAAGTGAGGGCAATTTATGAAATAGCCTTCTTTTTCAAATGCTCACTAATATTAAGTAGAATTTACTCTTTGAAAGTAAACTACTTACTACGTGTGAAATGAAGTAATACATTGTAGTAACTAATTGTAGCAGAAAATATATTATATCTTACTCTGTATGCCCTAGATGTATTCATTCATTTCACATTTGATCAAGTCAGGGCTATTGGCAAATGATTGATTCATCTAATCACGCAGACTTAGTCATAGCTGCAGCAAGTACGGTCAGAGAATCACAGAATTTCATAATTTCAAGGAACCTCAGCAGTCATTCTATGCCTAAAAAAAAAAAAGAAGAAAGAAGGAAAAGAAGGAAATAGCCTCTACAACATACCGTGCAAGTGGTCATTTGGCTGGAGGTGATCTAGTCTCCAGAGATAGGGAACCCACTTTCTCTTGAGGTGCCCCACTCCACTTTCCCATGGCTCTGATTATTGGAAGTTTTTCCTTAAATCAAGTCTAAATTTGCCTCTTTGTAATTTGTACACATTGCTCCTAGTTGCGTCCTCTGAGGCTGAACAAAACCTATCTCAAGGCTTCCTATTTCCTGTAGGTTTAAATACTATTAGCAGTTGAAGTGTCTAACCTCTAGTCTTAGAATTGTATTAGATTATGATCTTCTCAACAGCTGTTTTTCATCATTCTATCACCAGGACCTAATACCATGCCTGGCATGAAATAAATGTTTGGATTGACTTGGACAGAGAATAAAGATAAATGGGGCCTGAATCTGAAAACCTGACCTCATTAGCACTCTGCACTGACAAACAGTGGAGCTCGCTGTATTACACCTTGAAAAGTAAATAAAACACAAGACTAGGTTTCCTGTTGTATGTTTACATGCCTGGGTATTTGTATATCTCAGTCTTAGCCAAGGAACAGAAGATGTAGCAGGAACACAATAGTTATCTTCAGGTATTTAATGCAAGCTTATCACATGAAAGGAGAGAGAATCCATTCATTCCTTTCATTTCTAAAGCATTTATTAAGTGTCTGCTCTATGCAGAGACACAATGCTGGGCACTAGGGATACAAAGAGAAAACAAAAATCAAACTCTGCCCTCAAGTAGCTTCCTCTCTATTAGGGAATACAGCATTTAAAACCGAGAAATACAATACAATTTAGGGAGGGCGAAAGCACTGGCAACTAGATCAATAAAGGCTTCCCAAGGAAGGTATTTTTATCCTAATAAGCAGAGATAAGGAGGAAGTACATTCCAGGCAAAAGGGACAATCTAGATAAAGGCCTGAAGGCAGGAGATGCAGTGCTGATCTGTGGGGGACAGCAAGTAACTGAATTTGGCTGCACTGGAGGGTACATCTCAGGGAGTCCTGGGAAATAAAGGTGGAAAGGTCAACTTGAGCCACACTGGGGGCTTTGCCTTGGAATGCCAAAGGAATGTGGCAGTGCCTCCGTATGGAGTAGACACTTAATAAATGCTTTTCAAACACTTAAAGGAATGAATGGATTCCACTCTCCTTTCATGTGACAGCCCTGCATTAAATACTTTTCAACATGCAATGCAGTGAGCTCAGTTGTTTGTTAGTGTAGAGTGCTAATGAGGTCAGGTTTTCAGATTCAGCCTCCATTTATCTGTATTCTCTGTCCAAGTCAATCCAAAATTTATTTCATGCTGAGCATGCGTTAGGTCCTGGTGATGTAAAATTGAAAAACAGCTCTTGAGAAGATCATAATCTAATAAAATTCTATGCCTAGAGGCCTAATTCCTGCTTAGACATTTCAACAACATCTGCTAATAGTCACAAAAGAGATCTGATAGGAGAGAGTTTTAGTGCAAATCTATAACCATGATTGGATATATCCATCATTAAAAGTGGGCTCCAAAAATCAAGTTCACAAAGAGATGGTGAGGAAGGTATTGCTAGCAAGTTAAACAGAAAAAGGTCAAAGTCACTTAGCTAGATCATTATGAGTCAACAGGACTAAAGAAGCAAATACTGCCATCACGGGTCTTCTCGCCACCCCCCCCCCCGCCCCCATACAGAGCAAGGGACTTTACTTTGCCAATTCTGGAGTGCTGTGATTAGGTATAGTCACCATATTTTAGGAATGACATAAAGAAGATAGAATGTGTCCAGAATAGGGTGACCAGGATGGTGAAAGGATGAGAAAATACCCCACATAAAGGTTGGTTAAAGGAACTGGAGGTATTTAGCTTGAAAAAAAAAGATCTAGAAGGAGTGTTTATGGCTGCATTTGAAGGGCTATCATGAGGAATAGTGTCCTGCTTCGCCCCAGAGAACAGAAGTAGAAGTGGATGGGAATTGGTGAGAGGCCAATTAAAACTTGATATAAGGAAAAAACTTCCCAACAGTGAGAGATATCCCAAAGGAAAATGGGTTTCTTTGAGAAGTAATGGCTTCCCTCTCAGTGGAGGTCTTCAAGCAGAGGGTAAATGAATTAATAAATGAAGAAGAATTTATTCAACACTTACTGTGTGTCAAACACTAAGCTAGGAACTGGAAGACATTCAAAATTAGAAAAGAAATTTTCCCTACCTTCAAGGATCTTGTGTTTTTGCATCCTAAAGAAGAAAGGAGAGGACTGAAATGATTGATATTATGTATATAGCTTATCTTTGAAAATTTAAAGCATATTTATGTATACATTTAACTCTTTTGGCCAATGCAGTATCATAATGTGGTAGACTAATTCCGGGAACTAGCAAAATGTAAACTGAAAATGATAATTTCTTTCTACAATAGCAGTGGGAAATTTTCATAATTTATATTTTCCTTCTTTTTAAAATGGGTAAATTTGCACTTTCCTTCCTAAAAATATTTAATTTCACTTTATAAGTTTATTGTTCCTTATAAGGTGCATTCAAAAGCATTCTTAGATAATTTAAAATTTGTGCATGTCTTAAAAAAGTAGGATATACATTTGGTAAAATTCAGGTTATGTATTAGCAAGCACACTATTAGGTTTATAGTTTAATATGTATCTTCTTAAACTATTTCCTCTTGGTAGCATCAATCAGTAAATTAATCAACAAGCATTTATTAAGCACCTTCTTTGTACCAGGCATTGTGCTAAGAGCTAGAGATATAAAAACAAAGTGTTCTTCTAGGGTTTTTTTTCTAGACTGACAAATATTGTCACTTTCATCATTGTATTGCCTTTTATAAGAATTCTTTCTCCAGACCTGTAAGAAGGTCATTGATGTTTGTGGACTATGTATATGTGGCTCTAGCTTGCATCCCTCTTATATGTATTATTCTGGAAATTTTGGTGTCTTCATGACTTCCTTGCAGGCTTTGCAAAATTCAGATCCTGCCACTAATGTAATTAGAGTGTTAGAGAAGTTCTGAAATGACTTTTCTAGAATTTAAACTTGATGACTCATTAACAGCATTTAATAGAAGCCATTTCTCATGTAGCACTGACTTCATCAATGAAGTTTGTGCACGCAGAGCTACTTGGACAAGGTGAGATACTCTGTAATTTACAGTTACTATTAAAAGTAATCAGTCTCATTTAATACTAAATGGGAAAAGATGGCCATTCTTGTTAATGGGGAAAAAATGTAGGATTTAGAAAATACTACTTTCCTTCAATACTTTAAAAGAGCTATGATTTCATTAATGTGGCTATTCCTTCGACAAATAGAGAGCATAGCCTCTCCATACATTAGTATATAATTTTCATAAATTGCTATGATAAAAAAGTGTTATCTGACAACCAGTTTTCTAGTGATGAGCTTCTTCACACACATCATGCCTGGTGCTCAGGTGATAGACTGATGCTCCATTAATGGGCCTATACACAAAGACTTTACAGCTTGGCAGACCCTTTCAAAACCTGTTACTGGCAGAACCTTCTAGAACCTAAGGTTTCCTTCATACCATGATGAGATCCAAGGTGTATATTATTCTTTTGGTTCTGGCTTCTTTCCTTTGTATAGTTTCTTATAACTCTTCATATATTTGAATTCTTCCTATTCATTTTTCCTCATGGTTCAATATTACATCATTATATTCATATGCCATAAATTGTTCAGCTATACCCCAATCCTTGGGCACACACAGATTGTATTCAACTTTTTGCTATTAATAATTTAGGGAGATTTCTTTTCAAAGTTACATATATATGCGTGTGTATATACACACACACACACACATATATATATATATATATATGCATGCACACATATGTGTTATTACAAAGTTGGAACTTTTCATACTCTTAATATGAAAGATTCAAAGTATAATCACTGCTTATTAGGTTTGGGCTGCCTTTACTGGGGTCCTGAGAACTGGACCACTGTTAATTAGAATCATAGAATATTAATGTTGGGAAGACATTTAAAGGTAGCTGGTCCAACCTCCCACCCAATGCTGGAATCTTCCCCTGCCCTCTCTGACAATGTTTGTTTTTATATGGAACACAGAGGTTAAATTTCATTCCAAAGAACTACCTTGTATAACTAATTGGTAAATATATACTAGTAAAGTGTTAATCATTATTGCAGTGGAGTACTAGCATATTTTACATGAGTATAATTAAGAATCAGTATAATTTTTGTCATAAAATATTTAATTCATCTGATTGTTTTTTCTG